ATTCTGCCCTTCCGTGATTAGCTCTGGGAGCAGATTCGCCAGTCTTTCTGCCATTATCTTCGTAATAATTTTGTAAACGAACTGGCAAAGACTTATAGGCCTCAGTTGTCGCATAGATTCCACATTGTCCACTTTCGGGATCAGAGTCAACCAGGTGTGGTTGAAGCTGCGTAGCATCTTGCTCGTGGCAAAAAATGAGCACACAGCTTCAATCACCAACGGCCCGACGATATCCCAGAAAGTCTTAAAGAATTTCCCTGTGAATCCATCAGACCCAGGCGCCTGTTTGGATCCCATTTTAAAGACAGTGGCCCTCACTTCCTCCGACCCGACTGCCGCCGTAAGTTGCGCATTCATAGCCCCAGTAACACGACAATCAATAGGGAGCTGGCCCACCCGCTCTGACATATTATCCACTTGGCTCTCAGAAGTGAAGAGGGTCTTGTAAAAGTCAGTAGCAATATCAGCCTTCCCTTCCTCATCCGTGATCCAATCTCCCTCATCATTGCGAAGCCCAGCCACAAAGTTGTGTTTTCTGCGGGTTCGCGTAACCGTATGGAAATACGAAGAGTTCTGGTCTCCTCGTTTGAGCCAACGAACCCTCGATTTCTGCTGCCAATAAACTTCTTCGGCATCCCATTGCCTACTCAATTCCGATTCTAGATCCCTCACCGAATCCCAGTCTATAGGGGAGCTTGATTTGATTCGATCAATCTCCTTCTGAAGAGTTCGAATATTGCGGAGAGAATTAGTCGTGCCCGCTCTACTCCAGTCATACAGCAAATGCCGTACCTTCTTAAGTTTCTCCCAAAGCTGGAACATAGGGGTACCCGGGACTACCTCCTTCCAAGCATAAACCACCATAGCTCGAACCTCCGGATTGTGCGCCCATCGAGCGTCAAAACGGAAAAGAGGCCTGTTACGACGCTCATACGGCTTGTCAGAGAGAAGCAAGGCGCGGTGATCCGACCCCTGGTCCGTAAAGTGCTTAACAAGAGTTTCTGGGAAGGTCGACGTCCACGAATGTGAGCAGAGAGCTCTATCCAAACGTTCTCTAATGCAGGCATTCCCCATCCGTTTATTAGTCCAAGTGAACGGGTCTCCCTGAAACCCTAGATCATGAAGACCTAGGTCATAGATAAAATTCCGGAGACCGATCGCTTGATTAGCATTCCAGGCGTTCCCCCCGTCTTTCTCACTCGCCTGGAGAGTCACATTAAAGTCCCCCATAACCACAAATGGTATCGCAAAATTATCACAAACATCCCGAAGCTGAGCCAATTGGCTAGTACGAATTGCGTCAACACAGCTAAAGTAAACAAACACTACCACATAGGAAAAATCCCTTTCATTAATCCGAGTACAAATGCAAAAGTTTGAGTGAAAAATAACCGAGGCATCAACCCCGGGGACCCAACCAACTACAAGACCTCCTGATGCATCAACCGCATCCACAAAAAAACAATGCGACAAATGGAAACCTAAACCCCGCATACGACGGGAAACAACTCTCCGGCGCGATCTTGTCTCCGAAAAGAAAACAAGGTCCGGTTTATTCGAATAAACTAACCCTACAGCAGTTTGGAATGTGAGTGATGGTCCAATTCCCCTCACATTCCAGGCCAATAGCCTCATTTATCTGGTTGGGGCCACTCCAGGCTGGCTTCCTCCACCTTATCATCAGCAACTTCCACAAATTGTTTCTTAGGCGTGGGTATTTCCCCCACCTCACCCTCCACCTCCTCCAGAGGTCGCTTGCGCCCCTCCAACGAATTCACTGGAAGGTTAGAGCCATACTCATCAATCTCTGATTCCAACAAAACACCCTTCCCCTTGGCACCCTGTGCCTTCACTGCCATTGCCCCATCACCCAAAATTAGGCCGGACTCAAAAGCAGCAACAACTTGGCGAACCTGGCCCGTCCCCGCACCACGAGATCCTGCCCCATTTGGCACAGGCGACCTCTGTTTCAACTCAAATAAGTGAGCATCATCATCCGAAAAAGAGTCCATTAGGGCGGCGTCATCCAGTCCCGGACTCCCATCAGCTGGGCGTGTAGGAGTCGCACCAGAAGGTCCCGCAGACATTGGATTGGGAAGCACCTTTCCGACTTTCCTTAGCGGGCCTGAATCCCCTTCAACCGGCCTGGAAGCATGCGCCCCCTCCGCCTGAGATCCCCGGGCCGCCTTCCTCAAGTGAGACAGCCGCTTAATGGGCTTAGGCCCCTCACTAGGCCCAACTCGGCCCGACTGATTGGAAGCGGACGGGGCCCTCTCCTTGGCCGCTCGACGCGGCTTTGAAGCCCGCAGGCCGGGTTTGCCTGGCCCGGCCCTACTTCCAGTAGGCCCCTGCTTGTTTGCCAGCCCGTCTTTAGTAGCACCAGTAGGCCCAGATGGCCCTTTCAGCCCACCTGCTTCAGGAAGATCCAGAGGAGCCGGACTCACTGCCTTTATGGGCTGCTCATCAGGTGGGCTCGAAGGAACAGCCTTCGGATGGGAAACTTCTCCCTGAAAAACAAAATCATCATCACTATCCTCCAGGAGGATGATCCTCCGCCGCCGACCTACTTCAACTGTCGCCATAGGGATACCAGGGTTCGCCGGGACATCAGCCGCGACCCTCCTATTTTCAACATCCACCCCTGCGATCCCTCCGCTCGACATCTCTTCCCTGGCGGGAACCCGCAGCTTCTCTTTCCTTGCAATTTGCCCAGCCCTCTTGCGCAGCCCTTGACTCATCTTAACTCTGGGAGATTTCGACAATCTGATACCCCGAGGACTGCCGCGGTGGGGCGAAGGGGTCGGGCGCACCCAGGGCACTTGGAGTGTAGACTCCGGGTGAGTACGGCGAGCAGATTCACCCTTATTGCGTCGACCCAGAGGCTGCTGCACGACCCGATTAACATTCTCCGACGGCGGGGGCTGCATCCTCCCCCTCAAATCAGCATTCCCTGGTTTCTTTCGGATCTCTTGATTAACCCAGACTGTTTTCCTTGCCCCTCCTTGTGGATGGTGATTATCTTCTTGGTCATAGACTTTCTGCCCCTGTTTCTTGGTAATCATGTGGATTCCATAACGTTCCTTCCTAGCCGGTGGCTCAAAGTTGCAGTCACTCTGTAGATGCCCCACCCGGCCACAATGGAAGCAGAAACTGGGGAGATGTTCATATTTCAGATTGACCCAGAATTTTCCGGTTTCCGCACAGATTGCCAGGAGCTGGGAACGAAGTGATTTGGTGAAGTCAATCATCGTCCTTACTTTAAGAAAGCGCTCACCCGTCTCTTTGCAGGCAAAGACTTCAGATTCCAGCACCTGGCCAATGGCAGTGGAGATCATCTTCTGGCCAAATTGCTTGGTACAGCAATCCTCATTAACTCCCCATATCTGGACGCGGAATGGTGCCACGGCCAGATCATCGAAGATGTTCCTCGTGATATTAGGAAGCCACGATCTCAGAACGAGGAGCTTGTCATTCACTACCCAAGGGGAGCGTTTCAAAACCCATATTTTGGCTTCTTCAGTGGGCAATATAAACTCGAAGAGCCCGTGCTTAGTTTGCATCACACGAATCTGGCCCCTGCCCAGCCATGGTGTGTTCACTCCTTCCCTCAATTCCATCGGGGTGACTCTGGCATTCGAGAATACCCTCCCCAATAAGGTACGCGACGTCCTGAACCTCGTGGATTGCACCTCTTCGAGAGAGAATTGCACAACCTGATCCTCATTGATACGCGCCATTTCCCGAACCTGCAAGTCCACCACGAATGATGACAATTTAGGGGGAGGCAAGCCACTAGACGGGGCTAGCAATAAAACAGGATCAATGGACAAAGACGGGATGGAGACAGGAGTCAGCCGGGGCAGCGGGTTACGAGCAGGATGTAGAGCAGGGCACCTCAAAGAAGGTTTACCTGGAAGAGCTCCAACAGCCACTCGTCGCCTTCTTTGGAGGGAAAGTATCACCCAGTCCACCGCAAGTTTAACCGTGCAAGATTTTGAAGCACTGAGCAGTAATTGGGGAGGCGGGTTTATAACAAGACTAGCAACCCCTTGATTCCCACTGCAAGGCTGACTCCTACCGGCCACCAGAGGCAGAGTCCAAGTGGGATTGGGGAAGTTGAGTCTGTTTCCGTAACCATTAAGAATCTTGGAGAAAACCTCCTGTATCCCTAAAAACCAGGGAGAATTATCTGGAATTAAATTATGTTTTTTATTTTTTTCCAGGGTATCACGTCGCCGCCGCAGCCGCCGATGGCCGGCGGGAATGGGCCAGCAATTTGGCGATCGGAGTCCGTTGGACCCTATGGCTTTACGCCAAACTTGGAAAGCCTCTGTATCAGGCGAGGATTTGTGTTCCGGGAATTTCACCGGTTGTCCCTCTGTTTGGGCCACCAGGTCCGCCGGAGTAATACCGGAGCGAGACCCCATCGGAGCCCGCTCCGCCAAGCTGGGGGGAGTCGTCTCCTCCAGCTCATACGAGGAAGGTAACTGGAATCGCCAGCCCACTTTGGGGTTTTTCTTACGGCGTTTGTACCCGTCCATCCGAGGAAAGTCGTCATTAGAGCGTTTCCTAGTGTTGCATCGAACCCTGCCAATCGGCTTTTGTGCCTTGTGAATCCGAGGAGTATTTTCCTCTTTTCGATCCGAGGAAGAAACCCGACGCTCCGCTGCGGATCGAGATCTGAAGAATTCCAGGATCGCCTCTGTCCCTGTAGCACGAGGGTTACCTCCTTGCCACCTTGAATGTTGATTATTTGCGCTGGCCTTGAAGAACGCCACCATCACGACGAGGAGGAGGCGCCCCGCCGCGCAACAGAAACTGAGGAGAGAGGCGAGAGCATCCCTCATTTTTTTTTTTTTTTTTTTTAACTCTTTCAAAATTTCGTATGAAGCCCCTGTAAGAGTATTTAATAAGAAAGAAACACGAACAAGTAGGAGAATAGAAGTTTCATGCCACGAGTCTTTTCTCTTTCCTTTCTTGAACATCAATTCCCTTGCAACCAACTCTTAGATCTGTAGAAAGAAATAGTCAGTGAAGTGACCGACTAATTTTGCGAGAAATACAAAATTACATTCTTCCACGTGCAATCACCATATGTCTTCTTAACTCGCCTCTTTTTTTTGTGTCTAATCTTATTCTTTTAGCATCTAGTTATGTTTCTAACATCATTTCTCTACTAATCCACAAAATTAAATCTTGAATTTTTTTTGTTATTTCCCCTCTCTATCCAATTTCTTTTTGTTTTTTTTCTTTCATCTTTGAGTATCGTAACAATGGCTACAGAGTACCACAAGTCGACAACAGACGTCCCGAGGCCAACGAAACCAATCATGGTGGAGCTAGATAGCAATGGTCCATCTCCACCACCAATCAATAAGGAAAAAGGAAATAAAAGTGATACCACCAGGACAACCTTACACAGTAGTCGGGGTGGCTCTGCGACAACATTCCTTCGCAAAGCGCAAAGTAGCTGCTCTCAATATTGGAATGCACCCACATCGACACAGCTTATCGGGTTCCTCACTCTCCTCATATCCGGCACATTTTTGCTCTTCTTTACAGGGATCACAATCACTATAGGAATTCTCACTCTCCTCTTCTTTGCCCCGTTGGTAATCATCTCAAGCCCTATATGGATCCCCATTGGCACGCTTCTCTTTATTCTCGTCTCTGGATCTTTGATGCTAAGCAGTTGCCTTGTGGCCTTCGTTGCTGGGTCATCATGGATGTATAGCTATTTCAGAGGGATGCATCCACCTGGCTCGGACCAAGTGGATCATGCCAGGAGCCGGATTGTTGACACTGCTACCCATGTCAAGGACTGTGCCAAAGAATATGGTGGGTACATGCAGAACAAGACCAATAAGGATGTTGCTCCGGGAGCCTAGCTAGTTAGGGTTAGGAAATTGATTTTCTCAATGTTAATGGGTTGGATGGTTCGAGTCGATTTCGGTATTGAGGTGGAAATTTGCTAAGGATGACAAGTACTTTCAATCTTAGTTTTTTTTCTGTTATATTTTCAGCCATTTGTTTTCTAATGGTTCTGATGAGAGGAGCAAGAGAGAAGACATTTTTCTAACCGAGTCTTTTTCGGCCTTCCTCTTTTGGGGTATCACTTTCATTAAAAGGTTTAAATTTCATTTTATAATTCCAAATTATCGTTGATTATTTTAATATCAATTAAAATTCTTTTTTTTTTCTTTCCTTTTACTTTTATGTGTAATAGTCAGAGGATGTTGCTAATGCTTCGCTTTTATATTTAAGAACTAGCACCGGGCCCGGCCCTTTGGCCGGGAAAGTTTAGAAAAAAAAAATGTACATATAACATCCTTACAATATAATAAGAAAATAAAACATATAATTGGAGGAAGAAATACAAATGTTCAAAGAAGAAAGGACAACAATTAACATACATAATTGGTTTTCAATACTTCAAAAGGGCGTATAGTTCAAAATTAGAGTTGCTTCCTCTAAAATATACATAATGAACCCTTATGAGAAAAGAAAAAGATTGGTCTCTGATAGAGTTCAATATTTGTCCATAGTGTTTATCCCAATAGACATTGAGCTAGTTTGGCTCTGCTATAACTTTTGCAAAAGCAGCTTCTGGTTTGAGCTTTTAGAGAAGTACTTTAAAAAAAACAGTTTAGTGTTTGGCTGAAAAACTATTAGAAGTGCTTTTTAATATAAGAGGTTGTGTAAAACTATTTAACAAACTTATAATATAAAATAGGGTTAATACACTAGTTTGGCCCGAAGTTTGACGTAAGTGACAGTTCTGGCCCTATTTTTTGAATAAGACATTTATGGCCTACTTTTGAAATTATTGGACAAATTTAGCCCAAAATTTTCTTTGACCGTTAATATTAATGGTCAAACACGATTCTGTTAGTGACTCAGCAAAAAATTGTCAATGTGGCATGCCAAGTCATTAAATAATATTACTTTAATTTTATAATTCAATTAAAATAAAAAATTAAGGAAAAACCCTAAACTAAATCTATATCATCGTCAACAGGAGGGAGGAGCCTCCTCCTTCTTCGTCGACCACTGTCGCCGTGCTCCCACCATTCATTTTTCTATCTCTTCCATCCCTCTCTTTCTTCTCCTCGTTACTCCTTCCGCCATCGCCGCCAAAAGCGAGAACCCACCTGCGTACGTCCGGGAAGGAGGTTTCGGGTCGCCCTTGTCGCCACCCGAACCCCGATGATGAGGACCCATCAATCTGTGATGTTGCCCAATGGAGGGGCGGTAATTTCTCACCGTCGAACGACCAAGTCAAGAAATATCTCCAGGCTCTCAACTTGCAGGAATGTTAGGTTCAGGCTGTGGAGACGATCGACCTCGCTCCGGCAGTCGCGGAAAAGAGCAGCGGAGCTCCGAGTTCCAGAAAGTTCTGCACGGCGGCGGCGCCGTCTCGATTTCGACGGAGAATCTCCTAGTGTTGCCGATCAAGTGCAGGCGGCGAAGTCGGAGGAGGAAGTGGCGGAACTTGGGCTCCACAGGTGGCAGATCTTCATGAATTTTTCTCTTTTCCCTTTGAGCAGCACCCATGTGTTCAGGGTTTTGTTTGGAATTTCTTTGATTTTGGGCTTCTCCTAAAGGAAAAGAGGAATCGGTGGATGACTGGATGGGAAAGTTAAAAAGTAGCGGAAGAAGAAGAAGAATTTGTAGTAGTTGGGGGGTTTTGGGAAGGAATGGGAGAGGCGGCGGAGCGGTGGTTGTCAGAGAAGGAGGAAGCGCATCCCTCCTGTTAACACGATGAGGTTGATTTAGTTTAGGGTTGTTTTTCTTAATTTCTTAATTTGTATTTTAATTAAATTAAAAAATATATTATTTAAAGACGTGACATGCCACATCAGCGGTTTCTTGCTGAGTCACTAACGGAATAGTGTTTAACTGTCAATATTAACGGTCCAAGAAAATTTTGGGCCAAATTTGTCCAATAGTTTCAAAAGTAGGTCATAAATGTCTTATTTGGAAAATGGGGTCAGAACTGTCACTTACGCCAAACTTCGTGCCAAATTGGGGTATTAATCCTATAAAATATGAATAAAAATTCTAAAGAATAAAAAGTAGTTAAAATGGATCTTGCTAGATTTCTTTTATATTAAATAATATGATTTTATAATTTATTTTATTTTTAAAATAATATAGATGAAAGAAAAATATATTTTCCGAAATAAAATTAAAATATGGTAAGGATAATGTTGTATTTTCAAAACAACTTTTTCCAGAAGCTCCAAACTGGAGCTTCTTCTTTTATGTTATACAAAAGCGCCTTTTCGCTTTTTCAAAAGCCGAGCTTTTAGAGGTGTTTGGTCCTGTTTCAGCTTTTGAAGTCGAAAAACACTTTTAAAAGCCGTGCCAAACATAGGCATCATCTTTGTGCATCACAGCACGGGGCAATTGATATGAATTGGATGATTTTAAATATATCGGACATGATACAAATTTGTCGGGTAAAATATCTCTGGTACCACTAAAGTATTAGAATTGGGGGAGATAGATCACTTAAATTTGAATTATCGTCGAGTATCACCAAACTCTATTATATGTGCACCCGATACCACTTAAGTTTACTGCTAAGTGCATTTAGTTAAAAGTGACGGAATATTCTTGAAATATTCCGTTTTCTAAATTTCAGAAATGATTCTTCTACTTCGTATTGTTGTACAAAATCCTTTGCACTTATGAAAAACATCATATTTTTACTGTTTAGTTTGAATCTTCTTTTGAAAACTCTAGTACCAAACCAATATTTGAATATGAAATTTATAATCAATTATCATTATAAGTATTTTCAATTATCATTATGTGCTCTAATAATTGAATTACTCCTTGAAGCAAATGTATCATATGAATTTTATCTCGATATAAATCATCTGAGGATGTTATATTTAGTTCACTTGCATCATGTTGATGTTGTCTTATTTTCCATGTTAAATCTCATTGTAAGCCTCTAATATTATATTGTAGATATTCCAAATTAGTTAAATTTACTAATTGGAATTCTTTTCCAATAGTCATATTTTCTTTTCTAGATTTGTAACTGAATGTTTTAGCTTTTATAGTTTACTTATTACTTGGGTTACTTTTTGTCTCTTTTCGTTCTAATTTTTTCAATTAATGGAATATGTTTAATTTTCAAATTGTGTTCCATTTATCCTTCTTTGATCTTGATGTATTGATGGTGAATTAGGTTATATTTTAACTGAATTTAGTGGTGCTTTTAATTGAATTAGGGGTTTAAATAGATCTTCTAGTATTAATATTAATTTTATTTATTTATTATTATCTTTTAGTATATTTATTATTCTTTCTTGATAGTTGTTTATTATTTTTACTAATTTATCTATTATATTGAAAAAATGTCTTTAGCCATCTAGTATTACTATGTTTAGAAGGTTTTCTAATTTTTATATTAAATAATACTTGTTGAAATATAACTTTTGATATTTTAAAAGTTTTGGGTACCAAAAGGTAATTAAAAATTTGGTTTGGATGGAAAATTTGACGGATGCACTTTTTGGGGACTTTTATGGTGTCAGACGCCTTATTCAAACTTAAGTGATATGTCTATCCCAATTCTCAAACTTAAGTGGTAACCGAGTTATTTTATCCCAAATTTATCACTAATAGTGAGTTGGATAATGCATTGTGTACTGGTGAACTTCTGAATGACTTTGATGTTAGGGATGGCAACAAAACCCGAACCCACGGGTACCCACCCGACCCAACCCGATCAACGCGGGTAAAATTCGTGTTGACGGGTTTTGGGCCGGGTTTGGGTTTAAACCCGTTCACTATTCACCGGGTTGGTTTGGGTTTGGGTTTAGGTAAACCCGACCCATGGGTACTCGCCCACACCCATATAATTAATTTTCTCGGCTTATTTAATATTCTAAACAACTAATCTTATTTATGTTTGTGGAGACATGCCTAATTTTTTCTTTCTAGTTATGTAGTATGAAGTTGATGTTATCGAGTGGAGAGTGAAAAACTTAATTGACAGAAAGAAGCTTTCAATTAATCATGTTATTTGTGGATAATTTGTGATTTGCTTCAATTTTCTTGAGTTTTCAAGATTGGTGTTGAACAATTTGTATAGTTAATTTGTGATTTGCTTGAATTTTCTAGAATTGTGTTTTATATATGGATAGTTTGTATTGGGAGATTGATATTTGACTTTAATTTTGATAGGAATTTGTTAGTAAATTTTTTACGATAAAAACCTGTGGGTACCCATGAACCCGCGAATACCCAGCGGGTTGGGTTGGGTTTGAGCTTTTCAAACCCAGTGGGTTTTACTCCGAGTTTTTTTCACGGATAAACCCATGGATTTGGGTTTGGGTTTAGTAAATTTTTTACGACAAAAACCCATGGGTACTCATGAACCCGTGGATACCCAACGGGTTGGGTTGGGTTTGAGTTTTTCGAACCCAGTGAGTTTTATCCTGGGTTTTTTTCACGGATAAACCCATGGATTTGGGTTTGGGTTTGGCAAAACCCGACCCATTGCCATCCCTATTTGATGTCACTGATATGACCATGAACAATGTAGTAGTTTCCCTACAATGAAATTTATTTTGAATGAAATAAGTTAAATAATGAAAATGTATGATTATTAGAATGCATGGAAGAGAGGGTGGATAAAAATAGTTAATTCATTAATTCAAAACAACTTTTATTGCATTTGTTGATTATGACATTAGCGGTAATTAGTTAACATATTTTTTTTTATCAAGTCGTCCTAGTTTAGTGTTGTATATTTTTTTTCATATCTTATAAGAAATTTTTGCACTCATTATTGTCGAATATGAATTCAGAGTTTGAAGATATATAAAAAAATCAAGAGAATAATGGAAAGGTTATGTCTAGAAATCTC